GTGACAGAGATCAGGAAGCTGAGATGGAGCACGAGGAACCAAACAGAAGAGAAAATACAGGGTCAGGAGAGTCATAGGAGTAGAGGGGGGGAGGAAGTAGTAGCAGGAGGGAGAAGAGAAAGAGACAAAAATGCTGCAAGACATTTATGCAGGAAATCATCAGAGAGACAGATGAAGACTGACAAACTCAAGGGCAAGATCTGCAGAGACTCAGGGATGACAGACAAGTGAGACCCAGAGAGAGGGACAACAATGACCCAATACTGCTGGACTGCCAACATCCCTGACACCATGAGAGCCCATGATGGAACCGAGAATTCAAAGGCAGCAGACACCAAGTGCTGATGGTTCTTGGAGCCTCACAGTGTCTAGGATCAGAGAAGGATGGAGGAAAGACTTCTAAATCCACAAAAGCAACCAGTGGGAGTTAGCTATGTTAGCTCAGAGTCAGAAAGTTGTCCTGGGAGGATGTGCAGGGTGGGTACTAACTTATACATGCTCTCCACCTTCTCAGCTGCCTGGTATGAATCCTGGTCCCAGTCATGAGTAGCTGTGTTACCTTGGAGAAGTTATCTACTGTCTCTGTGTGTCCTAATAGCATTGCATCTGATGTACAATATTGAGAGGAAACTATATAAACTGGTGTACAATCATGAGAGCAGGACCTGGTGCATCATATGTGCAAATCAGGTAGCAGGCATTGTTATTACTTCAGTAGTGAGTGATGAGGACAGCTTTACAGAGATGGGGCCAATGGCAAACATTCCACTTGATGCCATGTCTCCTGTCCTGCCTCTTCATCCTCCAGGAGCCCCCCTGGACCCCAAGTTCCTCTTCCAATGCATCTCAGCCAACATCATCTGCCCATTGTCTTTGGAGAGCGCTTTGACTACAAAGATCGCCAATTCCTGCGCCTGCTGGACCTATTACATCAGAGCTTCTCACTCCTCAGCTCCTTCTCCAGCCAGGTCAGTGGGTGGGAAGAGAGGAAAATCCACAGCAGAGGAAGAGGAGGCCGTTCTGTGTGTGCAGAAGGGAGTGCTCTAGGGCTGGAAGAAACGCAGAGACAACATGGAGAGGCAAGGAGGGTGAGAGCAGGAGTGACAGAGGGATAGGGACGTGGCTGGAGGAAACATGGAGAGGCCAGGAGCCTGAGGCCTGGAGGGAAGGAAGGAAGGAGAGTGGTTCTCGGGGTAGAGGGACCTGAATGAAGAAATCAGAGCCACCCAGTCATGAGAAAATAATGACATGGGGACTATGCTTGCAGTTAATAAGGCAGAGGAGTTGTCTGCCATGTTTAAATGCCTGGATTTATCTCTGACACAAAATAAGACAGGTATGGTTGGCGCACATTTGTCATCCCAGTACATGTGAGAGCAGGGTTCAAGGCTATTTTTGGATGAATATTGAGTTTCAAGATAGTCTGAAAGACAGCAGATCCTGATTAAAAAAACACACAAAAAGTGATGGCTTAGGAAAGAGAGACAGAGAACACAGGGCTGGAGAAAGATTCAGAGAAACACAGACATCATGTCCTATGTCCATGAGAGGGAAAGGAAAGAACAACAGAAGATTAGGAAATGAGAGCAGGAAAACAAAGGGAGGGAAGTGGGGAGGTTAGAAGGAGAGAGCGTGGATCCTCATGAAATATGGGGACCTAGGAAGCCATCCTGCTTCTTGAGACTGATAGCTCCAGGTGACCTTCTGTTCCTTTATTCCTGCAGGTGTTTGAGCTCTTCTCTGGCTTCCTCAAGTACTTTCCTGGTACCCATGTACACATCTCCAGAATCACCCAGGAAATCCTTGACTACATTGAACGCAGTGTGGAGCAGCACCAGGAAACCTTGGACCCCAGCAATCCAAGAGACTTAATCGATACCTACCTCCTACGCATGGAGAAGGTAAGTCCTGCATGAGTGAGAGGGGATGAGAGAGTGAGGGCTGAGGATGTGAGCAGAGGAAATGAGGGGCAGAGGATGGGGAGGAGAGACAGGAAATGGAGTGGAGGAGATGCAGAAGCATGAGGAAAATGAAGAATAGAGAAAGGGAGGAGAAGATGAAATAGGGAGAAAGAAGGCTGTGCAAGACACACAGGACAAGGGACAAAAGGCAGAAAAAGACCTCAGAGGAAGAAAGAGCAAGAAAGAGCCTGGGACACAAACCATGATAAACTATCAGAGAGCAGAGTAGAGAGAGAAGACAGAGCACACAGAGACAAGGTGACATAGTCAGGGACTGAGAAATGCCATGTGGTCCATAGAGTGAGACACAAGGACAGTGCCCAGGATGTGTGTGCATCTCCCTGCAAGGTTCCAGTCATCCTGACCCTCCTTTCTCTCTCCTATCTGGAACCAGGAAAAGTGCAACTCGCATAAGGGGTTCCATCACCAGAATCTCGTGTTCACAGTGCTGTCTCTCTTCTTTGCTGGCACCGAGACCAGCAGCACCACGCTCCGCTATGGCTTCCTGCTCATGCTCAAATACCCCCATGTTGCAGGTGGGACCCGGGAAGCCAGGTGTGGGAGCTTCTAGCTTCTTCTTGGCTGTGGAGCTTTGTGTGGATGAGAGAGACCTGGACCTCTTACTTCTGGAATTCTGAAGGCTTTGGTCTACTAAACTAGGGCAGTGCTGTGGGTGGTTTGTGAATTAACCCTCAGCTGATCTCTTTTATCATTTAAAGGTTGATCCACCCACCCATCCATCCACCCATTCATCCATCCACCCACCCACCCATCCTTCCATCCATCCATCCATCCACCCATCCATCCTTCCATCCATCCATCCATCCATCCATCCATCCATCCATCCATCCATCCATCCATCCATCCATCCATCCATCCATCCATCCATCCA